ACGGCCGGGGCCGGCCGCAGCGACACTGGGAGGCAGGGCGGGGGTAAGCGCCGAAGCAGGGCAGCTCCGCACGGCCGAGACGCCTGCAGGGTCCTGATGCCAATCTACGTGCTTTTAATGCTTTGTCCCTTGCACACAGCTATTTACCCACCTTTTTAATAACCTAAAAACCCGGATTCTGCTCTTAATTTTCTTCCCGTGAGGGTACAGTACGGAACTGGGTGTCATTTGAGCAAGACAAACCTCCGATGAAACATTAACCCGGCAACAGATACAGGATTACTTTCTGCAGAAACAAGCAGAAATTTTTTAATAACCTAAAAACCCGGATTCTGCTCTTAATTTTCTTCCCGTGAGGGTACAGTACGGAACTGGGTGTCATTTGAGCAAGACAAACCTCCGATGAAACATTAACCCGGCAACAGATACAGGATTACTTTCTGCAGAAACAAGCATCACCATACTCTAATGAAGCTGTTACTTGCAACCATGTCAGGATGCTGTCGCAGCAAAATATATTTTTGGACCCGATTTTTAACCGCACGGATTAATTTCTGGAGCTTCAAAATACAATGAGATGTATTTTGAAAAGCCTGCTATTCATTTGTGGATTTCAGAGCATGAGAAAAAATGGGAAACATGCCTGATTGCTGCAGAGAGGCCTTGGAGAAGATTCCTTGAAACCACTAGAATGCCTGGCTGTTTTAAAAAGACTTTGTTTGCCTTGGCTTCTCTAGTAAGTTTTGTGTCTTTTATCTTGGTTATTGTTGCAATGGGGATCCCAAAGTGGATGACTGGAAAGATCCTTTGCAAAACAGGAGCTGATTTGGTCAATGCCACAGATCTGGAGCTTATCAAGTTCATTGGAGAAATCCACTATGGACTCTTTCGAGGCGGCAAAATACGCCAGTGTGGGTTGGGTGGGCGGCGTTCCAAATTCACAAGTAAGTACAATTTTGGTTGACTCTTTGGTCTAGTGTCTAGTTCAACTTTAAAAGCACTCTCTTCTTTTTGTTTACAGAACTTTGAGAATGCAAATCATTAATGTTAAATTTATATTTGTGGTCTTTACGATTTGGGATCTGAGTGTGAATGTAAAATCTCTATCATTTCAGGCTAGCTTTTTTTTTCGGGTTATGTTCTGTGATCCTGGAATCAAGATGGGAAAAACAATCCCCAGAGCAAGATTGAGGGTTTCCTCTCAGTCCTGTGAAGGGAGTGAAAGTTATTTGGAGATGACCCTGTAAATCATACCTTCCCCTTGACTGACTTCCTCCTATGCCAAGTGTTGCTCTGCAATCCCTCTGTGCCTCTGTCCCTGCCTTCTCCATTGAGCTCCTCCCTTTTTTTTTCCTTTAAGAAGCAGAGATTTATTTAGCTGGCCACATTTCTATATTTCTCTAGGTGTCCTAATGCAGAAAACTGCCATAGCAGATGCTCCTAACTTTATTAACATGTTGAAGAAATGTTTACTTTCTTTGCTGGTAACTTTGGAGAGAAAAAATTGCTGACTCTTAAAATATGTAGAAATTCTTAGAAATTTATTCCTTTTAACTTAAAAGATTTTCCTGAGGTCTCAAAAGCACCCAGATGTTGATCTGTACTTTGGATGGTTTCTAGTTTTCACACATCCTGTGCTGTAGTGGAAATGGTATTTTGCACTGAAGATTTTTAGTTCAGTGTGCAGATCCACTGCAACTTCAGCCCATATGAGTTGATGCCCTGGCCCACAGCAATGCTGTCCCGCCCCATCCTTTGCAATGGCTCTGGTAGTTGTTGTGGTAGTTCAGGAAGTTAAGCTGGCCAAAAAATTAACCCACAAAACCCCCAAAAAATTAGTTTCCCCTAGCATCACGGTAGACTACACAACTGCACAAACACTACTATAAAAACTCGACGGAAGGCAGGACTGTGTGACTTCAGAGGGAATGCAGAAGAGAACCAGAGCAACTTCAGCTTTAGATCAGCATGACCAGTTGTTAAGCTGTGATGAATTTGGACTAGTCGTTTTTACAATAACCAAGGCTTGCTCAAGCTCTGACTGCAGCTGCAACTTCATGACACAGACACAGCAGTCATGCTCAAATGCTTTGTCCAGTGAGTCTGAATGGCTGGCAGACAGGCCATCAGGCCAAAGCTCTTCCAGCTCTGCTCTGCTCCTCTTCAGGGCATTCAGAAATACAGTCCCTGTATTTACATTCTTTCACCCTATCCTGTCAGAGGGAATGAGGAAAAAAGTAGCCAATTTCCTTTAAATCTCTGTACAACTTCCTGGACTCTTGAATAAACTTTCTGATTCATTACTATGTAACCTGAGAGGATGGCCTAATGTTCCACCATCACTCTGGACTGCATCGATGGAAGATTATGGAGTGGTTCATCTTGAGGG